GTCCAGGTATGAGTGTCTTTGGGAAGCTTTTCCCTGTCCCTCTGTGGCCTGGTGTGTTTGACCAGCAGAGTGCTTATCTCCTATAATCTCCCCCACCACAGACTGGGAGCCCCGTAGGGCAGTGGCCAACCTCATCTAGCTTCTGAGGAAAGGGTACCCAAGAAATAGTTAGCTGCCCTGGAGGCAGCAAGGGATTCTACGTGTACCGTGGTAATGCCCTAAAAGGATACACACAAAGATTATCACCAGTAGCTTGACTGGCAGATTAGCACACATCTCGGTGTTTCATAGAAGGTTTGTTCCATTCCCGGCCCTTCCATCTTCAGAGTCCCTCCACTGCACACTCCTCCTGCTCGTGGACTCCCACCACCTTCCAGTTTTGTCTTCTCCAAGAATGTCTCCGCCTTTCCCCCCGCCCCCAGGCCCTGTGATTCAATACTCTGCCACATTTTCTATTTCAGGCTAATAGAGACCCTGATGCTGGAGTTGCGGCTGAACAAGATGCTCAGGTAAATGAGACTTAAGATGAGATGGTTTTACTGTGACATGTAAGTGACAAATATCCATGTTAGTAAAAAACCATCAGCAGTGTTGTAAGAGCAACTTATTTATGGGTCACTACCAAATTATAGGACTCCTGCAAGTATAGTTTTCTCATTTTGAGCTGGCAACAAAATATTTTATCCCAAATAGAAATGAAATGAAATAAATTGCATATGAACAATGAGTCCCATGTAGATATGTTACCCTTTTCCAGTTATGGAACATTCATAGAACAGAAATTCAAACAAGAACAACTTAGGTGTGGTGTCTTGGTTTTTTTGTTTGTTTGTTTGTTTTTTCCTAAAAGTAACAGGGGAGAGCTGTGCACAGTAGACGAAGAAAGAAGATCTCAGTGATAAAAGGTGTTTTCTTATGTAACAGAGGTCAAGATACAAAACTGGGAGATTCCTCCACCTTTCCTTGCATGGAACTCTAAGTAGGAGTCTTCTTTTGTCAGCTGCTTTGTAGTGACACCCGGATAACACGTTGTACTACATGGCTTTTAAATTCCAGGCCTCTCTCAAATGTTTGGCCTTGCTGATTACTGGGATGACACCACACCACGGGCCTTAATGACTTGTGGGCTGGGTAGGCGACTGTGTGGTTGTCACAACCCTCCAGGGTGGGAGTTCAGGTCAGGGGCGAAGATGTAGGCCGTCTCAGGTGACCATGAGAGGCCTTGGCTAGCGGGCAGCAGGCCAGGTTCCCAGCAGGACCCGCAGTGTCCCGAGCACAGTGCCACAGGGCGAGGCTACTGGGGGTGGTCACCGGTGCGTTTTTACCTCACTCTTACTGGTTTCTCACCTCGGGGAGCCCGTGTACAGCAGTGATCAGACTTTCTTGTGCCCGTGGACCTCCTGGGGTTCCCCTCAGAGTACAGGTTCTGACCCAGTGAGCTGCTCAGGAGTGAAGCCAGAACCCATGTCCTGCATGCCCATAACTGAACACAAAAAGCCCCTCCGTTTTCCACGGCCAGCCCCTCCTGCACTAGGTCCTCTGACTGGGCCCCCTCTGCAGCGAGCCACCCACAGGGAGGTGTTCCTCACCTTCCCTTCACTTTGGGGCTCACCTTGCTAGCTCTCGGCCTAACGATCCCCCCAGCCCCCAGGTCAAACCACAGGTGGCGCCTCCTGCCTGGGTCCTGAGCAGGTCAGGTGAGGCTGGAAGTATTTCCCAGGGGCCGCCCCCCCCCCCCCCCCCGTGCCCGCTACATGGTGACATTTTGGAAATTCAAACCTGAGTGGAGGCAGAGGGCTCCGGTGACCCTGCCGGCTAAGGGGGCGATGTTTGTGTCATGTAAGTTGTGTTAGGTCTGCACCCAGCTCAGTGTCAGAATTGCTCAAATGTGTTGAGCTTCAGATGCAGCTGACAGACTGTCCCTGGGGGTCAGGGCTGGGCACAGGCCTGGAGGGAGAACCGAGGCCCCGCAGGCTGTCCTGGGGGCACTTCATAAGCAACGAGGATGCGCCTCCCGGCTGCCTGCGGAGACCCTGCCTCGGGAAGGCCGTGGGGTCCGGGCACACGCCTTGAGTGGGAGACTGGGGGCGGGGGGAGGTCCCCTTTTCAGATGGGGGCGGCTTAAATAATATTGGCTTTCACTTAGATGACTGAGATGGGGGGGAAGTGGGGGGGAGAGAGGGAACTGGGACGGGGGAAGGTCCCCTTTTCAATAGGGGGCGGGTTAAATAATATTGGCTTTCACTTAGATGTTTTTCATAAAATTCTGGTGAATATTTTTGCACATAAAGATTTTTAATCTGCATTCCAATGCTTTTCCTTAGGTCATTTTCCAAAAATAGAATGATGAGTTCTATTTAAAATAAAATGAAATGAAACTACTAAATTCAAGATTCCCTTGAATTGAAGGTGTGTGTGACTTTATTTGCTGTGGAATGAGAGAGAACATGATGCCTGTGGCCCCTGCAGCTTTTCCTCCTCCTCGGCTGTCGTCCTCGCGGCTGTTGGCCCCGCCCCGCCCCCGCCGGCCCCGCCCCCGTCCCCGTCCCTGGAACCGACCTCTGTAAATGCCGCTTTCGCCGCCTCGCTCCTCGCCCGCGGGCGGCGTCCCCCGCCGTCTGTCTACACCTCAGGCCGCGCGGCCCCTTCGTTTCCCGCGTGACCCGCGGGCACGGCCTTCACGGGCGACCCTCCGTTTTACTGCGCTTCGCCCCTTTCCCACTTCCTCTGCGCTTGGCCCTCCCGTCCCGCCTTTCACCTCCCCGTAGGCGCTGCCCCGCGTCCGCTTCCTCACGCGGCAGCCTTCTGTCCAGGAGGAAACGCTTTCCCATCCTGTCCTCCCCGCGCCTCGGAAGCCGCATTGCTCCCGGGCCCTGTCAGGTCCCCAGGCCGTGACTTTCCCACGATACCACCCCGGTCCACAAGACGGCGCGCTCCGTCTTGCCAGCGGCTCATTTGCCCGAGAAGCCGCTCCTTCCTCCGCAGACACTTCCATGTCATGTGTGTCCATAGACCGTTATTTTCCCACGATACCACCCCGGTCCACAAGGCGGCGCTCTCCTATTTTCGAGCAGCTCATTTGTCCGAGTAGCCGCTCCTTCCTAAGACACTTCCGTGTCATCTGTTTACGCATACCGTGATTTTCCCACGATACCACCCCGGTCCACAAGGCGGCGCTCTCCTAATTTCGAGTATCTCTTTTGGTCAAGGAGCCGCTCCTTCCTTCCTAGCACTTCCGCTATAATTACGTCATCAGTAAGCGACATTTTCCCACGATAAAGAAGTCCACAAGGCGGCGCTCTCCTATTTATAATCCCGCCTTGTGCGATTCTCCTGGTATCGTGGGAAAATCGAACGCTTAGGAAGCACGTATACGCGAAGTCAACTAGGAAGGAAGGAGCGCTCCTGGGCAGATAATTCGCTCCAATATAGGAGAGCGCCGCCTTGTGGACCGGGGTGATATCGTGGGAAAATCACGGTCTATGGACATAGTTGATATGGAAGTGTCTGAGGAGGAAGGAGCGGCTACTCGGACAAATGAGCTGCTCGAAATTAGGAGAGCGCCGCCTTGTGGACCGGGGTGGTATCGTGGGAAAATCACGGTATGCGTAAACAGATGACACGGAAGTGTCTTAGGAAGGAGCGGCTACTCGGACAAATGAGCTGCTCGAAAATAGGAGAGCGCCGCCTTGTGGACCGGGGTGGTATCGTGGGAAAATAACGGTCTATGGACACACATGACATGGAAGTGTCTGCGGAGGAAGGAGCGGCTTCTCGGGCAAATGAGCCGCTGGCAAGACGGAGCGCGCCGTCTTGTGGACCGGGGTGGTATCGTGGGAAAGTCACGGCCTGGGGACCTGACAGGGCCCGGGAGCAATGCGGCTTCCGAGGCGCGGGGAGGACAGGATGGGAAAGCGTTTCCTCCTGGACAGAAGGCTGCCGCGTGAGGAAGCGGACGCGGGGCAGCGCCTACGGGGAGGTGAAAGGCGGGACGGGAGGGCCAAGCGCAGAGGAAGTGGGAAAGGGGCGAAGCGCAGTAAAACGGAGGGTCGCCCGTGAAGGCCGTGCCCGCGGGTCACGCGGGAAACGAAGGGGCCGCGCGGCCTGAGGTGTAGACAGACGGCGGGGGACGCCGCCCGCGGGCGAGGAGCGAGGCGGCGAAAGCGGCATTTACAGAGGTCGGTTCCAGGGACGGGGACGGGGGCGGGGCCGGCGGGGGCGGGGCGGGGCCAACAGCCGCGAGGACGACAGCCGAGGAGGAGGAAAAGCTGCAGGGGCCACAGGCATCATGTTCTCTCTCATTCCACAGCAAATAAAGTCACACACACCTTCAATTCAAGGGAATCTTGAATTTAGTAGTTTCATTTCATTTTATTTTAAATAGAACTCATCATTCTATTTTTGGAAAATGACCTAAGGAAAAGCATTGGAATGCAGATTAAAAATCTTTATGTGCAAAAATATTCACCAGAATTTTATGAAAAACATCTAAGTGAAAGCCAATATTATTTAACCCGCCCCCTATTGAAAAGGGGACCTTCCCCCGTCCCAGTTCCCTCTCTCCCCCCCACTTCCCCCCCATCTCAGTCATCTAAGTGAAAGCCAATATTATTTAAGCCGCCCCCATCTGAAAAGGGGACCTCCCCCCGCCCCCAGTCTCCCACTCAAGGCGTGTGCCCGGACCCCACGGCCTTCCCGAGGCAGGGTCTCCGCAGGCAGCCGGGAGGCGCATCCTCGTTGCTTATGAAGTGCCCCCAGGACAGCCTGCGGGGCCTCGGTTCTCCCTCCAGGCCTGTGCCCAGCCCTGACCCCCAGGGACAGTCTGTCAGCTGCATCTGAAGCTCAACACATTTGAGCAATTCTGACACTGAGCTGGGTGCAGACCTAACACAACTTACATGACACAAACATCGCCCCCTTAGCCGGCAGGGTCACCGGAGCCCTCTGCCTCCACTCAGGTTTGAATTTCCAAAATGTCACCATGTAGCGGGCACGGGGGGGGGGGGGGGGGGGCGGCCCCTGGGAAATACTTCCAGCCTCACCTGACCTGCTCAGGACCCAGGCAGGAGGCGCCACCTGTGGTTTGACCTGGGGGCTGGGGGGATCGTTAGGCCGAGAGCTAGCAAGGTGAGCCCCAAAGTGAAGGGAAGGTGAGGAACACCTCCCTGTGGGTGGCTCGCTGCAGAGGGGGCCCAGTCAGAGGACCTAGTGCAGGAGGGGCTGGCCGTGGAAAACGGAGGGGCTTTTTGTGTTCAGTTATGGGCATGCAGGACATGGGTTCTGGCTTCACTCCTGAGCAGCTCACTGGGTCAGAACCTGTACTCTGAGGGGAACCCCAGGAGGTCCACGGGCACAAGAAAGTCTGATCACTGCTGTACACGGGCTCCCCGAGGTGAGAAACCAGTAAGAGTGAGGTAAAAACGCACCGGTGACCACCCCCAGTAGCCTCGCCCTGTGGCACTGTGCTCGGGACACTGCGGGTCCTGCTGGGAACCTGGCCTGCTGCCCGCTAGCCAAGGCCTCTCATGGTCACCTGAGACGGCCTACATCTTCGCCCCTGACCTGAACTCCCACCCTGGAGGGTTGTGACAACCACACAGTCGCCTACCCAGCCCACAAGTCATTAAGGCCCGTGGTGTGGTGTCATCCCAGTAATCAGCAAGGCCAAACATTTGAGAGAGGCCTGGAATTTAAAAGCCATGTAGTACAACGTGTTATCCGGGTGTCACTACAAAGCAGCTGACAAAAGAAGACTCCTACTTAGAGTTCCATGCAAGGAAAGGTGGAGGAATCTCCCAGTTTTGTATCTTGACCTCTGTTACATAAGAAAACACCTTTTATCACTGAGATCTTCTTTCTTCGTCTACTGTGCACAGCTCTCCCCTGTTACTTTTAGGAAAAAACAAACAAACAAACAAAAAAACCAAGACACCACACCTAAGTTGTTCTTGTTTGAATTTCTGTTCTATGAATGTTCCATAACTGGAAAAGGGTAACATATCTACATGGGACTCATTGTTCATATGCAATTTATTTCATTTCATTTCTATTTGGGATAAAATATTTTGTTGCCAGCTCAAAATGAGAAAACTATACTTGCAGGAGTCCTATAATTTGGTAGTGACCCATAAATAAGTTGCTCTTACAACACTGCTGATGGTTTTTTACTAACATGGATATTTGTCACTTACATGTCACAGTAAAACCATCTCATCTTAAGTCTCATTTACCTGAGCATCTTGTTCAGCCGCAACTCCAGCATCAGGGTCTCTATTAGCCTGAAATAGAAAATGTGGCAGAGTATTGAATCACAGGGCCTGGGGGCGGGGGGAAAGGCGGAGACATTCTTGGAGAAGACAAAACTGGAAGGTGGTGGGAGTCCACGAGCAGGAGGAGTGTGCAGTGGAGGGACTCTGAAGATGGAAGGGCCGGGAATGGAACAAACCTTCTATGAAACACCGAGATGTGTGCTAATCTGCCAGTCAAGCTACTGGTGATAATCTTTGTGTGTATCCTTTTAGGGCATTACCACGGTACACGTAGAATCCCTTGCTGCCTCCAGGGCAGCTAACTATTTCTTGGGTACCCTTTCCTCAGAAGCTAGATGAGGTTGGCCACTGCCCTACGGGGCTCCCAGTCTGTGGTGGGGGAGATTATAGGAGATAAGCACTCTGCTGGTCAAACACACCAGGCCACAGAGGGACAGGGAAAAGCTTCCCAAAGACACTCATACCTGGACAGCATTTTGAGTTAGCCACGCAGAGAAGAGGTACCACCCATGACAGGCCCTCATTTACTGTTGGTTCCTTAATTTTAGTTCATTTTGATTTGTGACGATTACCTGGAATGGGAGTTAGTTCTTATTGTCAATGTTTTTATAACAGTTACCTGAAAATAAAGGTCTCCCTCATGGTGCAGGGGTTAAAGTCTCAGCTATCAAGCTATCTGCAGCCACTGCCCGGGAGCTGACCCACATGAAGCAGCAGACCTCCCCTGTCTCACCTGCTGTTCCTCTCAGCAGTGTATTTCAGTAGATCCACCGGCTCAACACTCTGTCTTTGGTGAATCCTGACACCCCTCCCCCCTTGCACCTCTGCCTTGTACCCCAGTTCTTTATGCATAAGAACTAAAATCTTAAAAATGAAAAAAGATAATCCTTCCTAGTGTCTAGGTATACAATCCAAAAAAAAAAAAAAAAAAAAAAACTAGCCCTACCTATGGCTGAAGTGGGCAATACACCCATAAGTTATCTTGATCTAATTATTTTGTAGCAAAAAATTTTTAAAGCTTTCATAAAGACGACCTTTTGCTTACTTGACGTATGTGTGTGCGCATTTTAGCATAAAATATACCTGGTGGTTAATAATGTACTTGGATTACAAAACCTGCAAGAACTTCATTTTTCACTAAATTTGTAGAAGCATCCTGGTTTTCTACAGAATCCTGGGATTCTTCTACAATGGTTAAAATGGAGAAATTTTAAAATAAAAAATATTGTCACATATGCTGTGGAAATGTAAAATGAGGCAGTCCATGCTTAAAATAGTTTGGCACTTCCCCAAAACGTTTTTTTTTTAAAAAAGAGTATTACCATATATTTCAATGTCTCCGCACCTAGATATAAACCCCAAACAATGGAAAACAGGTGTTCAAGCTAAATTTTGTACACAAATATTACAGCAGCACTGTTCATAATGGCCAGGGGTAGAAAGAGTGCAAATGTCGATCAGTGGGTGAGTGGACAAACAAAACGGGGTAGATTCATAAACTCCAGTATCACGCTGCCATTGAAGGAGGAAAGTCAATCGGTGCAGCTGCTGTGGGGGGCAGCACGGCAACTCCCTTAAACACTGAACACACAACTAACACGTGACACAGCCATTCCACTTCAGGAACACCCGAAAGAATTGAAAGCAGCGACTCAAACAGCTACGTGAGCATGTAGCAAGCAGCATTATTCACAATCTATCAGTATCTCGAAGCAAGTTACTCCGTGCAATGAAGAAATGTAAAAACAAAATGTGGCCTACAGGAAATGTCACATTCACTCTTAAACAAGGAAGGAAATTGTGATACGTGCCACAACTTGTAGGAAACTTAGAGGCATTGTAAGAAGTGCAATAAATTACCCAGACACAACAGGACAAATGTAGAGAAATTCCACTCAGGTGAGTATCCAGAGCATCAAATTGGAAAGAGAAGGTGGAGTGTGGTTGTCCGGGGGTGAGGGCAGAGAGGCCGGAGAGTCCGTGCTGAGTGGATAGAGTTCCAGTGGGGAAATGAAAAGGCTGTGGAGGGTGGAGATGCCCAGCTCACCTCCCCCACATATTTACACCCAAATTACACCTAAACAAAGGCTGTAGTGACCTGTGTGCCTGCAGAGAGGGCTGCGTCAAGGTGTGGCCTGTCCACACAAGGGAACACTACTCAGCCGCATGGAAAGACAAAACATGACCGTTTACATGAAAAGGGAAGGGATGCGAGGAGGGCCTCCTTTGAAGTAAAGCAAGTCAGATGACAAACACAAATGTTGGCTGATTACACAGCAGGTGAGAAAACCAAGTCAAATACCAATTAAAATCTACTGGACTCTAAGAACCAAGTGAGGTTTCTGAGGTTAAGAGAGAAGGGGGAGAGAGACAGGGCCAAAGGCAAAAATGAACAGTCTCAGGAACAGTCTCAAAAGAGACAAGTAGATAGGAACAAAATAAGACGCAGCTGGGGTAGGTGGTGAAAGCTGAAATGGGCCAGTGGACTGGATTACAACATGGACACCGATGACGAGGTACTCACTGGAGGCTATGTGGGGGATCGCTGGAATATTTTGTTTAACTACAAAACAGAGTATCGTGATGAAAACACAATGGAAGGTTTCAGTTAGGCCAAATATGTGGTAAAGCAGGAATCTGAGTATAAGATAAGGAGGATGTGTCCTGCTATTGAAGCTTCCTGTGCATCCGAAGTAATGGAAAGTAAATTTCTTTTCAAATGCCTCTCCAGAAAAAGAGAAGACACTGAAATTCCTTATAGAGTACAAGCCCTGACCAGATCCCATCCATCCAATGTCAGGGAACTAAGGGTCTCTGCAGGAGTCCGCATGTTATTAAGAGGCACTGTGGGAAGATTCTATTAGTAGACTTTATGTGGCAGAAATAACAGGGGCTTTTAAATTGCAAATTTCTACACCACTTCACCAGAAATAAACTGTGAGAAAAGATAAATTCAGCAAAGTTACAGAACACAAAAAATTCAATTGTTTTCCATAGCATAATAAGGACCCATCAGAGTCAATTGGAAAACTACACCCTTTACAAATGCATCAAAGAGAACAAATACCTGCGGAAACATTTAATGGCGGAGAAGAAAAACCTGTACAAAGATATACTATAAAATACTGTTGAAAGAAACTGGAAACACAACAAAGATATACTGTGTTCATGACTGGAATACCTATTATTGAAAGGCGCAGACTTCCCTAAGCAAACTACAGATGCAGCGCAATGCCGATCAAAATTCGATGGCATTTTTTCACAGAAACAGAACTAACCAGCCTGAAATGCGCAGAGAGGCGCCCAGGGCCGGGAAGAGCCAAAACGCTCCTGAGAGTGCAGCCGGCGGCATCTTGCTCCCGGCTGCAAACTGCTAACTGGACACAAAGTCTCAACTAACGCTTGGCAGTTCATCAGATAATTAAAGTGGGGACGGAACCCCGAAGGAGCCCGACAGATTTTATTCCACAACACAAGAGTTTGAGTGTAGTTTCTACGGATGGGAAGAGTGAGCCACCGAGGTCAGGAATGGAATTGTTCTGGCGGTTGGGGCGTCCAGTCCCGCTTGTCCCACCCTACACACACACATGCTGATGCCGGAGGAAGCCAAGCCCCATTCAGTCCCTCCTTTCTAACGAACGCCCCGGGGAGATGCAAAGGCTGAGCGCCCCAGTTAAGCCTTCTTTACCTGCCTCCCGGGGCGCGGGGGGTCTGGGGGTTCGCGCCTCACCTTCAGGGGCAGATGCCCGGGACCCGCCGCCTGGGGCCTGCTCAGGCGCGGCGTCCGGAGCCGGCTCTGCCCTCAGCCTGCGGCCCCCGGGCCGGGGAGGGGTTGGGGCGGTGTCAGCCCCAGGTAATTTGACGGTACGTTCCCCACGCTCTAGCCTGAACCCACTGTAATAAAAACAGCCAGGCCCGCGCGCCAGAACAGGGCGCCCAGAACCCCCCCAGGTGTCGTCCACTTCCCGCGAGGGCGCCGGGAGCGCAGGGCCCGCTCTCAGGCAAGGGAAGCGGGACGCGGCGGGTCGCGCTCAGGAATGCACCCCGACCCCCCAGAGCCCCCGGGCCCTAGAAGGAACCCCAAAGGCCGCCGGCTCCCCGCCCCCTGCCCCTCCCGCACTGGGTCCTCAGACCGGACCCCTCCGCAGTCAGCCACCCACGGGGAGATGGTCTCACCTGCCCCGCCTCTCGCGCTCACCTCCTCCTCTTGCGGCCCAAGGAGGCCCCCTGATAAAAGTGCAGGTGACGCCCCCCGCTGGGCCCAGAAGCGACCCGGCTCCCCCACCCGCAGCACCTCACGCCGCGCCCCCGGAAGCCCCAGCCCCGCGGAGGAGGCCGCGGGCTGGGCGCGCCTGCGCGGTCAGAGGCCTGCGCAGGGGCGCGGGGCGCGCGGCGCGCTCGGGTGGGCGGGTCACGCCCCCGACGCGCTCTCGGTGGCCACGCCCGCCTGGCGTTCCCGCTGCGGCCTGGCCGTTTGGAAACTCAAATTCGAATGGAGGCGAATGTCCTCCGTCTTCACCAAAAATGGTGTCAATGAGAATTCTAGGACGCCACCGAAACAGCGAAACGGAGCACAGATGACTCAGCAAACCCCGCCCCGGGCCCAGGATCGGGAGGGATTGGGTGTGCAGATTGGCTCCTGGCTGTGCTTTGCCGCAGCCCGGGGTCCTCACCCGCCTGTCACCATTCTCCAGGCCCGCACTACTGGTCCTCACCACCAGGCGGCGCCCTCCCCCCCCACCCGGGACCCTCAGTCATTCCTCTGCTCTTCATTCACCATCCGCCCTCTGATCGCTACCTCTCATTTGTGCGGATGCTGTAATTTATTAGCCACACCCTGGGGTTTTCATTTAGATGGTTTCCGTTATAAGCCATTGTAAAGAAAGGGCTGGCGCAGAGCGGTTCCTTAGGTCATTACCCTAAAATAGAATGACTAGATCAGGCAGAATAAATACGCTAAGTCCACAGTTCTCTGCTAGGTAGGGTACAAGTTTGTTCTTCTCTCAGGAATGAATGAGGGTACACATTTCGCCTCACCTTCGCCTACATTTCTCTCTATCTTTCCAGAGTTTTGATGCAAACTTTGCACTAGACCCACGTATGCTAAAAAGTTTCATGATGTGTTAGAAATATTTGGCTACTTTAAGCCCTCCCCTGTAAGCAGCATTAGCTCAGCAGTACTAATAAATGAAAAAAAAAAAACACCCTTGAATTTTAGGAGGTAAAATGGAAGAGTGAAGGAATAAAACTGTGCAGAATAACCAGATGCTTTCCAAACAGGTGATCTCTTGGCATCACACATATCTTGGGACACCTGACCACCTGCTGGGGAGGAAAGAGAAGTATGCTAATAATAAAACCTCCTACACCTCATTCTGTTTCCTGCTTTCCCACCTTTGGCTGCATGCAGATGACTGTGTGGACACAGAGGACAAAATCACCAAATGAAGAGCCTTACCTCCTTTATGATCGCATGGAGTGCCGCCCAGCCAGAAGACACTGAAATGAGAGTGGGTGGATTTGATAGGATGAAAGATCTGAATTCCAGGTTTCATATGTTATAGCAGCTGGGTTCACTTACTGTAACCCTTACAAATGCTTTCTTGAATAATAACTATTTCCTAGACACCCTGTCACATGTGTTATGTTTTACTTAATCCGTACACCCATTCGATGCTATTCTTATTAATAACACCTTAAAGAATATGATTTTCCCAACTGTGGTTTCTTCGTAAGCTGAAATGGAGACTCTCCAGAGAGAATTCTCAATAACGACTGTCATCTGAAGCTTCTTGATGTTCTTATGAACCCTAAAACTCTCCTTGGCTCTAAACAACCACTCCAGTTTCGTGGTTGCAATCATTTTTCTTAAACAAGGAAAGATGAAAACACCACAGCCTATGGTTTTTGTGGCCAGTTCAGTTTACTTTTTCCACACTGTATTCTGCTCGTTGGCAAATGCATCCATCATCTAAATGAGAAAGATAGTTATTTTTGAAAAATAAAGCACCCAAGTCTACACATTCATAGTGTAACAGTGTAATCTCTACAGAAAAGAGAAAGGATGAAGAGGAGACCTGGAAAAGGCACATGAACTAGAAAAACTTGAAGAAGCAGCTATGCTTGCTTCTTGGCCTGGATTTGTACCAGGAACTTGGGTGGTGTGGCAAGAGACACTTGCAAGAGTGTCTCTCCCCTGGCTGAGAGACCTGTGGGGACACTGAAAAAGGCAGCCTTTATCTTGACTTGCATTTTGATTTTGCTCTTTTCTTTCTAGCCTTGTCTGGCCCCTTCTGCCCCTTTGCTATAAGTTGTACACCAAAAGGTGCCTTAGATGTTCAGGCCTCGGTGCCCTGCTGTAGGCCAACCCTGTGTGGCTGGGCATTTACCCATGAGGGGATACGTAACTTGGATGCTTGGTTTGAAATCTCTATTCTTTCTCTCTCTTCTGTTTATTGTACAATAATCTGATTAAAGTTCTTTCCTATTGAACGTCTTTTGCTCTAGAGTATGTTTTGTCTTTAAGTGGCAGGTGGCAGAATTCATTTAGAGCAGGTTGGTTTTGGGGTCCCTGGTTTGGGGTCCCTGGCTCCCCCTCCTCCTGCCCTTTAACAATGAACTAATGTGGTCAGAGAACTGAAACTTGAGTAAATAGTTACTTTAAAAAATTCCCACCTTTTCACTCAATAAAATTTCATTGCCAACTGTCATCATGTCATATTTTCACTCCCTCAGGTATCATTTACACTTTTCAAAAGGGGAAGAAAGATCTGTTGCAGAGTTTAAGCTTCTGTGTCTCCTCCAGGTGGGTCTATAAACCCTTCAATTAGTCCTCCATACAAGGAATGATTCAAAACGCTAAGTTCTTGCCTTTCATTCAACACAGCACGTTTATCTAAAGGGACAGATCAGTAATCCATATTTGCACACATCTAAGAAGTGAGAGGTGATGAGGACACTACAGCATGCTGATATATGGAAGAGCAACCTAGAGCTGAGGAATAAATATGTAAAATTATTGCAGATTCTTGAGACTGCCATATTGAAAATAGACTGATAGCACGCAGCAGAGAAAGATAAGTTACAGATTTCTCTGGATAGCCTCGTTGTTCACAGGTAAATTGGTGTAGTCCACCACATGTAACCAGCCACTGCAAAGGTTCAATCAGGATGCTCTTGAAGTTTTCCTCAACAATCTACTAGAAGTTTTAATCCACCAGGAAACTTATACAAACATCCTTACATCTCTTGGTTTAAGAAAATTTAGTAAGAAATAACATACTATGGCTTCCACAATAAACATCTAGGTATCAACTGAGATGTTGGAAGAGAAAATTTAGGATTATTTTATGATGTTATAAACCAGGTTTATCAACCCATCAAACCACATTTGTAAAGCAAAAGTAAATTATATAGATGCGTCTATTCCCCTTAGGATATTACCCTTATGACCAACTTCCTATTAACATCCTTTAATAGTCCGTAATTTCTAGGTACTTTTTTGCTCATTAAAACCCAGCACGGAAAATTCTAAATCTGTTTTCTATGTAGAAACAAATGACTACCTAGAATTATTAATTTTCTTTTCCCCTTATAATATCCTTCTGGTGGAAGACTCTAGGTACCATGTTCATTGGTTGCTGATCCACATCTGTCCACATCAGGACAGATCACACAGCAGTTTAATATTAAAAACTCAAGATGCCACTGATAACATCAGTTCAGAGAAATCATGGGATGAACAATGAACTGGTGAATAGCTCATGCTTTAGAATGAAGGCTTCTGAAGTTAAACAGTCAAGATGAAGGACGCAGATAAAACATTTGGGCTACAAACAGATGTCTAACTCCACAACTTGTGGTTAAACCAATTCAAAATTATTCCCTATAAGTAAACACTTTCATTTTCACTATTGTGACTTACTTGCAGGGCATTTTCTTATTAAAGTGATACACTTAATGAGGTTTTATTCCAATGTTTTTTTTTTTTCATACTTGTATGTATTACTCAAAATGTTTCACATTTAAAATAAAAAAAGAACTAGGGTAGTACTTTCTGTGATGCTTTCATATTCTCAACACTAAGTCAAAAATATTTATATCTCTCATTTTTAATTTGCTGAGTCTCGCTTCCCTCATCAGGTGTCATTTGAAGATGTGATTCTTATAGAAGCTCAACCCTCTGGTGATGCTAACTTCAACAAGAGGACTAGTTACATTTTTCTCAAAGGTTTTCATTTTTTTGCATTAGGTCTTTTTATTTCCTCTCCTAACTTCATAGTCAACCTTAGCTGTGGTAAGACCCCAGAGTATAATTTCAAGGAAGTGTTAGTTTCAGTATACATAAAAGCTACAAGAGACCAACATGACTTCAACAGTTATAGGCAAACCCAGCTCCAAATCATATTATTGTTTGGCTACAAAAATTGTAAAGAACCAAAACTCTATCACTTACATAGCAAATTTATTATGGCCTGCATTTAGGTAATAATTGATAAAAATCTCATTTGGTTTTGAGAAAAATGAGTATTGTCCCTGCCTATGTCATCTGCTACATGATCCTCCAATGTGCTTGTGGTCATAGAAATATAAAACAGGAGAATCTAAATATAATGGAGATGTGCTTAATTATTCAAAAAAATTCTCAGCATTGATATTATATTTCCAATTTTATTGTCAAATTTGTACTAACTCAACTAGAAAAAATTGTATGAAAAACCAATATATTTCAACCAATTTTAAATATCTCTCCTAACTCAAATTATTTAAAAAATATGAAGTATGAGTTATAGTCTTGGGTTTGGACATATTCTTTGGCAGGCCTAAATTTTCAGATAAAACTTGTATCTGGAGTCTGCATGATAAAGTATGTTCCCATAAAAACCATGCTATATTCAGGGGTTGCTTTGTCTGACAATGAACAAACTGGATATAAGTTAGATCTGACCAACAGTGGAGCATTAAAACAAAAACAAAAAAACCACACCTATAATTCAGAACTATGGCCACCACACAAATTAATTGATGACA